GTGTGTGTGTGTATGTGTGTGTGTGTGTGTGTGTGTGTGTGTGTGTGTGTGTGTGTGTGTGTGTGTGTGTGTGTGTGTGTTCTGCAACGAAATAGTAAAAAGAAAAAAAAAACAATCTTGCCGAGTGTGTGTGTGTATGTTCTCCAACGAACCATAAAAAAAAAGACAAACAATCATGCAGAGAGAGAGTGTGTGTGTGTGGGTATGTGTGTGTGTGTGTTTATGTTTGTGTGTGTGTATGTGTGTTCCAATGCAACATAAAAATTAAAAAAATAAATAAATGATGTGCACATATGGCGCATATGCAGCCCGCCAGTGCGCACCCCCCAACGCACTCGCGCGCAACGCACCGGCCTTGTGTGCAGCGCATCGCGCATCACGCACCGCGCAGCCAGGTGTGCGGCACCGCGCAACGCACAGGGACGATGCGACGCTGTCGGTGCGAATACCCTTACATGGGTATCCGCCCTGGTTTTGCAAATGACAAAAAAAAAGTTTGGTTTAAAAAATTTAAGTATACCGCGCAACGCGTGGCAGTGTCTGTAATTAATGTCGACTGAACGATTGACTAGAGTAAGAGAGTGTGTGGGCACGCAGACTTAAGGTGCTCGTGATCTGTTTTCCCTTTGATGATTGTGAAAGTTGGTGTTGGTCGTCGGCCAGATCTTTATTTCTGATTAAACTAGGATTAAAAAGATTATGTTTCGTTGACTGATTGCGCTTGCCTATGACTTGTGCGACGTCGACAACAATGTGGTTTTGAAAACGTTTCGATAGATCTGCGCATCGCGCAGTATTAATTTATTTTGGTGTCCGTCAAAGCTAGACTCAGCCTCGGGCCTAACACTAACAGTTACAGTGTCGAACTTTTATCAAAGAGATTCAGGGACCGAGAGTTGGGGGCCCGACGGGGCTCTCCCCCTTGGTTTTGCCATGAGTAGTGTCGGAGCGGTGCTAGCGTATTTTTTTCCTCGTTCGTCATATTCTACCAAGTAAGAAGTTCTAAATATTTTTTTTACTTATAGTCGTACTATTACTATTTTCGTTCGGTGTTCCTTGACTCATAAGCAAGGCTGGGTTTCGAGGTCGTCGCGGCGGTCAAGGACCTTGAGCACAAATCTCCTTGGGTTGCCTCGTGGGTTCCTACGTCTATGGGATGCCGGCGAAATTTCTCTATTCCGCGTATTTTGAAAAACAGTGGGTCGAAGATTCAATGTGCATACAAGTCAGCAGATGGCTGAGAACTAGGAGGGCCGTGAATAAAAAAATAGTGGCTTGGCGTGTTGTCCGAAAACCGTTGCGGGAGGTTAAACTGGGAGTGCGCTGTTGGGACCTAGAGAATGGCGAGCTGTGCCTGGGCGGAGCAGCCGAGGGCACAGCAGCAGGAGCCGCAGGCAGGGCATCACGGCCAGTCCTGTGGAATCGTCCTCCCACCTTGGCCTCCAAAGTGCTCATCTGAGCATGAGTTACTACTGCCAAGTTTTGTATCAGGGGCCCGCATCAGCTAGGCCCACGCTGCAGGTTTCGCAGCGGGCCCGTATTCTTCTCCTTTGCGCGATGTCGGGGTCACGATGATCACCAGCAGGTGGGCGATACTGGCCAGGGGTCGGCCGGTAGCATTAGGACCGAGCTTCTTCGAAGGGCCGACCATTGTTCCTCCCCTCCAGTCCCCTCTCCCCATGAACGTCAGTGGTTTCTTCTCAGCGCCACTCGGGGGGGGGGGGGGGGGACCAACGACATGTCTCTAGGAGGCAGGCGTCAAACTTGCCCATGGAAGACTGATCCGGCCGTCTAGTAGCAGGCTTCCCTCAGAGGTTTCCCTCGAAATAACGCAGGGCGGTCGATGGATTTTGCTGCGCAGCCGTGGGGTCGGGTACTACGACGAAGGAAGTGAACCCGGGCGTGATCCGTGCGGGCTGCTGACGGGCGTTGCGCCAACCAGAAGAGGGACGGAGTAGAAGCTGGTACGAGGGGAATGTGCAAACGAAGAAAACTGAATCCGGATGCAAAGTCGCGCCGGATGCACGCGGGGTATGGAAGAAGGAACTATGGTGGGAGATGAAAGATGTATATCCCGCACGTTTCTTGGCGAAAACGAGTGGGGGACGATGGCAAACTGGGGCTTAAGGCCGGGACGACCATGAATCCATGGTCAGATTAGGCAGGAAGTCAATAAGGTAGAAGGTACTCGGAGAAACTGGTGCGTCGGGACTATCGAGGAACGAGGAGGAAGAAGAGTGGAGGAATGTGTAGCCCGCTCGGTTTTGGACGAAATCGGGCGGGGGAGGATCTGAATCGGGGGTTCCTGAGGTGGGCGACCCCGATTCCGAAGGCTGAACTAATAAAGAGGGAGTAAAGAAAAAGTTCCTTGGGAAAAGAGCAGCGCGGAGATGTCGACGAGAGCAGACATGGTAGGAGGAGGAACTGATATCTTGCCCGATTCTTCATAGAATCGGGGGAAGTAAAATAGTAGCTTGATGTTTTAGGATGTGGCGAATTGGATGATGAAGTTAGATTCGGGAGAAGAATAATAGTTTTGTGCTAGGAAAATTAAAGCCGCGCCTGGGAGTGGGATGGTAAAATGCCAATGCATTTAGCCCGGTTTTTGCAATAAATTCATTTTGATTTTGCCTGCTCTATCTGCAGAAGCTGCCTCGCTCTATCTCTCCATGTGCGTACGCAAGGGTGACTCTTATGTCTGACGAACTCCTCAGTTCACACTCACGTCGAGTGAGACCAGCGGCGAAAGATCGCACAA